CCCTACAAGCTGGCCTCCAAGGCATCTCCACGGAACTTCTAATGCTCTGTAGAAACTTGGTTGAAAATAGATGATTGTCCAGCCTTTTCCTTGGTTGGACCCAGAAAGGAATGTGACTATCCTTAAGGTCATGGAGCTCGTTAGGAGAAGGAGCCCCCTGTGCCTGGGGTGAGGGGGGCCTCGGGGCTCTGGCCCAAGCCCAGTTTGATTAGTCTGGAGCCCAGTTTGATTCCAGGCCGACTGGGGTCCCTGAGGTTAACGTTACACGTATGTGGGGCGTGCTGGTGGCTGGGTGGCGGGAGGTGCTGGGAAATCTGCCTGTGGGTTCTGAGGCGGCCTGTATCTGTGCGGTTTCTCTGGGTCCAGGGAGCGGGGAGGGTAGGACGGAACCCTGTGTACCTGGAGGTGTAATGAAGCCTGGGTTGGGCAGTGAGGATGGAAAGAAGCTTGAACCACTCCGATCCTGTCTAGTCCACACTGGAGGGGGTTCAGGCTGCCCTGCCATGGTCCAGGGCTTCCCCAGGCTCCCAACAGGCAAGGAGGCTTTTTAAGTTCTGTGAAAGCGGGCTCCTGATCTTTCTTGGTACCGCTTGTGCTTCCGGTGGGGATTGGGGAGCACCTCATCCTGCATAGCCTGGAATACTGGGGTGCCACCCTTTGAACATCCTTGATTCTCAGGGTCACTGGGAGAGAGATGCTGCCACAGGGGCCTAAATCTAACAAGGGGTCCTTCCTTGTTGGAGCTTGGTAAGGGGCAGGCAGTGGGAGAGCATGGAGGTGTGCAGCAGCCTGAGGACGGCAGTCAGAAGATCAGGGTTCTGGTTCTGGCACTGCCCCCAGCTGGCTGTGTGATCTTAGACAAATCACATTGCCTTTCTGGCCCTTAATCGCCTCATCAATAGGAAAATGGGTTGGACTAGAGGGTTTTCAAGATGCTTCTAGCCTGTGGTATGCCCAGCCTGAGCGTGGCCCGGAACTGAGGAGGGAGGCCCAGTCAGCTCGTGCTGGACTTGAAGGGGCCCCGAGAGACATGAAAACGTGTTCAAGTCCCTGCAGGTGGACATTCTTAAGCCTAGCGTGAGACTTTATTATAGGGTTCTTCTCCCTGTAATGCTGGGTGCTCTGAGTGACCCACAGTGCATCTGGGCCAGAGATGAGGCTGCCGCCTGTGGGTAAATAGTCTCTACGGAAAGCCCAGGGCACAGTCCATGGGGGAGCCACATAACCACTGAGCTGAAGTGATCCAGGAGGTGACTGTGACATCACTCAGCACAGCAGAAGCTCCCTCCTCTCTGGCACTGCTGGCTAGGCCTGCAGGAGACCCAGAGAGGCCAAGGGTAGGACCCACTTGGGGGCTTGTTAACTTACTCCCATCCCCCACCAGGTAAGGCCCCAGGGCAGAGCTGCCGCAGGAAACTGTAACACTGGCCCAGGTGCTATGGGCTGGGGGATCTACCCCGGAAACTGTGGTATAGAGGGCAGTGGGCCGGGTGCAATGGGACTCGGGTTTTAGTCCCTCTTCTGCTCTAAGACGTACCTGAGCGACTTTGAGCAAAGCACACAAATATTTTGGGCCTCTCCTTCCTTGTCTATAACATGCGAGTAATAATCCTTATCAGCTCCTGTCCCAGAAAGTGCTTGGAACGACCCCCAGAGCCAGCCACTGCTCTTTTCAGGCCTCTACCTGGCTCATCTCCTGCTGTTTTCCTGTGGACCCTGCCCTGCCCGCTGCCTCCTGGCGCAGAGCGTTCTCGAGGGGACTGGATGAGTTTTGAGTAGGGGTCCCCGGGAGCTGCAGAGACACAGGCAGGTGGCATCAGTGACAGCCTGGGGTGTAGGCCTGGTCCATGACACGGTGAGGGTTCATGGCTGTATCAGCCCGGGGGGTAACCCCAGAGACCACGCCAGGGGTGGCGGGGGGCTGATTGGCAATGTTAGGCCAGGGAAACGGCCAGAGTCACCCACGCTTTACCTCTGCCCTGTCCCCCTGTCCCCCTGAAGACCGAGGAGGCCTCTGGTCTGCAGGCAGGTTGTGGCGAGTCTGGCCCTGGTCATCTGATTCCCAATCCTGGGTCTGCTGCTCACTGGCCAAGGCTAGGAGTCTGGCCGGCTCTGGCCCGGGCTCTGGCCCTTGTATCTCAGGACCTCGGGCAAGAATTCTCCTCTCCCCCCGGTTCCCCACCTGCTCAAGGCATCTGCTCTGAGGGAGAGGCCAGGCCTCCGGGAGGGATGCTGGAATCTCAGCAGTTGATCTCCAAGAATTGAGGAAGGGAAATGAGCTACTGCTCTAGTAGGTTAGACGTCAGGAAGAACTTCCAGGAGGGTGGGGTGGAAGGCTGTGAAATGGATAAAGAAGGACGGCTGTGGAAGCTCCTGTTCTGGTGGTCCTAGAGAATGAGAACTCTTCCCAGCAGCATCCTGGAAGTGTGATGGTTTGGAGTCAGGAAGATGGAGAAGATGGCCTCGCTCTGGAGGCTGTGTTCCTCTGGTCTTGGCGCTGCGCTTCCATCCTGCTGTCCCTTGCAGCTCTCTACGTGGGCAGCTGTATCTGGCACTTTGGGGACTAGGGCTCTTCTCTTGTCCTGCTCTGTGGGGCCAGAAACTCTCCACCTGTCTCCCACCCTGTCCGACACCACAGTGCTCGTTCTCCTGAGGCCAGGGCCTCCGGGGCCTCCCGCCCCTTCTTGGGTATCACCCTTTCTCCCCTCCCCGCCAGCTTCCCCTCCATCCCCACACCCCACTCTGCCCAACCTTGGGAAGACTTTGTGCTGGACCGCTGAGGCCCAGAGGTAACAGTTTGACAGAGTCTCTGGCTGGAGACTACTCACCCCTCCACCTGGCTCCTTGGGTACCGAGCCCCAGGTTAGCTCCATTGTACACGTCCCACCTCCCTCTAGACTCAGAGAAGAGGCATCCAGATGGCTCTCCTGCCGGGACCCCAGGGCCTCTCCTCCCCACTTCCTGATGGCCAAGGCCGTGGGTGGCCACGTTGGGACCTACCTGTGGGTGGAGCCAGCACCGGGAAGACGGACCCGCAAGGCTCGGGAGGTCTCCCTGCCTCCCTGGCTGCCCCTGGCTTCCTGCTATGCCTGCCCGCTCCCTGTTCCCTCCATCCTCCCGCAGGTCTCCCCACCCGTCTTCCTCTGGGCCTCTACCACCTGTGGACCTCTCAGCCCCCTCTCTCGTTCAGGCCGTGCTGATGGGGTGACAGGACCCTAGCTGGTCATGGGGTCCCGCTCAGGTGGAGGCCTGAGCTCTTGCCGGGGGAGTCAGAAGTTTGTGATAAGAGTCCCAGGGCCACTAATCCTTTTTGGGGTTTTAGGCATGCTCTTGAGTCCCTCTGAACCCCCGATTCCTCGTGTATAAACTGGGGATGATAATTCCTGTCCAGCTTGCTAACTAGGAGCATTGTGAGAAATCAAATGGAATAATGGGTGTAAAAGCTCTTTGCAAATTGTAAGCCCTGAAGAAATGCAGGAAGTTACTGTGGGCATTCGTGATAATTTTGGGCCAGACTCAACTTGCTCTGAGTAGGTCTGGATAGAATCCAGGCCCCGTCACTTACCTGAGATGTAAATTTGGGCATGTTCTAACCACCTTGGAGCTCAGTTTCAAAATCTGTAAGATGGGGTTAATAATACCAACCACAAAGAGCTGTTATGAGGTTGAAATGAGATCAGGTAAAATGCCTAGTGGGCTGTTCCTATTATTACGGTGATATGCATTTATAAACCAGCCTCTTTCATATTTATTCCTTGTCAATCTGGGGGGAGAAGGTAAGATCATTCCCATTTTATATGTGGGGAGATAGATTCTGAAGGGTTAATGTACTTGCCCAAGCCAGTTAGGAATGGATGTAGTCAAATTTGAACACAGATTTTTCTATTTCAAGCCCAGTGTCTTTAGCAAACAAGCAAATAGACAAACACCCACCCACCATCACAGCTAACGGTCACCAAGTCTTACTTTATATACGTCACCTATCACTGAGATGCTATGAAGCAAGGTGACCGGCTCACCGCACAGGTAAGGAAACCGAGATGTGAAGAGGTTAAGTCTCTTGCCCAGTCGCCAGCTGGCTTTGAGAGTACTGGAGGGCTGTGATGCCACTGCTCCTGGCGACCAGGCTTGTCCTGGCAGGCCACCGGGGCCCAACCCTGCTTCCCACTGGAAACTTTCAGTTCCCTGCTTCCTACTGGAAAGACCAAGATCCCTGCAGGAAACCTCGGCTCCAGCCCCGGGCTCCGCATGGCACTCCCAGCCCTGCAAGGTCCCAGGCCCGATTCTCAAGCCACGTCACAGATGCAAAACAAGCATCCCATGCACAGGGTTCAGAGGAAAGACTGGGCCAGGAGCCTCTTGCTCCTGACTCAAGAAGACGGGAGACTCAGATGCAGCTGGGCTTGGGCCAGGTTCCTGACTATGTGATTCTGGGCAATCTGAGCTCTGAGGCTTGGATTCCTCACCTGTAAAACGTGCTTCTAAACATATCAACCTCTCAGGGATGGAGTGATGACCTCAGGAGGCCAGAGATGTGCAGGTGTATTATAAACCCTCAAGTACCATACATTGGGAGCTATAATCAATTATATTTAATTATATAATCAATTGTATCAATTATATAATCAATTTATATTTATTGGATTGAGTTATGGGAATTTCCCCTGAGGTGAGGGACCATGTATATTGTGAGCATAACAGGGAGGAAGGCCTGGCAGGCCAGCTGAGGTGCCACAATGCCAAGGTCTCGCTCAGGTGCCGAGGCTGGGGCCACCACTTGTGGGAAGGAAGCACAGGGCTCTACACAGCCTGGGCTTGTTCCTCTTATTGAAGGACCTTAGTCTGGCCTTTGTTGAGCACCCTCTTTTCTCCCAAGATGAGCTCACACCACCTTTTAGCCTTTAGAGGCACCTTTGGCCGTGCCTCAGGGCTGTTAAATCTTAGCACGGCGGGCGCTGGGTGTGCCAGTGCAAAGGGGGGAGAGGAATGACCGTTTCCTGCCCAGCCACTGTGTGCCAGTCACGGGAAAGAGATTTCCTATTTTATCTCATTGAATCCTCAGGAGTATTAGTCCTATTCTACAGATTAAGAAAAAAAAAAAGGAAAGTTAAGTGCCTTGTCTAAGGTCACACTTCTAGAACTAGGATTGGGACCCAGGTCTGCCTGACTCCAAAGCCAGTGCTGTGAACCGATGCATTGTACATTTCAGCATACCCTTACCCCCTCTCCATGCTCCAACCCCAGTCCTGTTCCCCTTGAGGCTTCCGGGGCTAACCTGTCTTCGTTTTGTGGAAATCTAGTCTCTAGACAACAGGGGTGAGAGGGAAATCTGAGCTCTGGTTCAGCTGCCCTTCATATCCCTAAACACACACGAGTGTGTCCCTGCTCTGCTGGCTGGGGCATCTGGACTCATGTGTATTTACCCATGTTCATCAATTAACCCCAGTAACTCCCTGGGATAGTCACTCCTGGTCCCTGCCTCTGGCAAGCTGAGTGTGGTCAGGGACTCAACGACCCTCCTTGAATTCATCCCACAGCCTCCAGAAAAATGGAGAGGGGACCGGATCAGTTACCTCTGACTCTTAGAAGATGGAGTTAAAAAAAACAAAAAACCCCACCCGGCCTGGTAGGCTTGATGGTGTTGACTTGAGCCGGATGTTCTAATGAAGAGGACTTTTTATTAACTGAGCTGCTTACTAATGTCAAATGCTTTTAAGCACAGTGGTAGGGGAGGGATGAAATAGAGGTGCCCAAGATCCAGAGCCCGTCTCTTCCACACAGCCCTGCCGACTGTGCCCAGAGCGCAGGGTCCTTGAGCACATGTCCCTTCCCCCACCATTCCTGCTGCTCCTCG